TAATTGCTTCCTCGACTGCTCTCATTAATCAACAACGGGCCGAGTATCGGCTGTGTGTAATTCATTTTTAAACGAGTTATCAGTTCTCCCTCGTTACTGCTCCGGAGCTAGACGGGCTGGCAGAGCCTCCCGCGCTTAATTCGCGCGACGACGCGTATTTGCATAGAACTTCTCGTCCGTTTTACCCGGGTTTATCTTCGGCGGAGAATTCCCTCGTGGAGTTTTCCCTCTTTTAAAAGAATTACGACACGGCAAGCAATTAAAACGAACTCCGTCCTCTTATCTACCGAGGGATTGATATTTCGCGTAAATCATACCGTAAGACTTCTAATCCACCGCCATTATACCCGGAGACACGTCCATAAACTCGGTCTCTCAATCTTATACAAACTTTCTTATCAGACATGCCTACACTCTTTGTTCCTTATCGACCCTTCGATAGCGGTTCTGCCTCCCGTCCTACGCTCTTTCCTCGAGGTAAATTCTATTTCCCAGGCTTGATACGGTCTGTACCGGTTCGGTAAAAACTCAATTTCGTTCGGCAGCAACAATTATGTACCCTGCGGGCGAAATGGGTGAACAGGTCCGAAATTTCGATGAGCACACGGTCGAACGCGTGCGGAACTCGCTCGAAAGAATACAGAGACCGATAACAGTTTGACCCCATTCAGATATAGCGATCCGAACCCCCGGGAGTTTCGTCAAACTCCAGTATTTTCGTTATTACCTGTTCATCCGAGTACCAGTGACATATACGTACTACTGATTTGTCAGTGGATACGGCCAGTTTTACACCGGCATGAATCGCTGCGGTTAATTTGTCATAAGAATAATGGCTCTATTGTGAGATAATTCTCGAGCCATGCAATACTGCGAACTAGTAATATGTCGGACCAGGTTTTACAGCCCTGTACCGATTCTAGCGCGCTAATTGTCTTCCGTGACAGTCCGCTTCACTAGTAGTTCATTTTCCTTCACGAAATAGTCTTCTCGTTTCCCTTTTTTAGTATTTACTTTTTGCAATGAATATTTGTTGGATCATTCATTCGAATAGAACAGGAATATCATTAATATGTTAGATATTTTTACTGATAGCCAGCTAGACGCGTTCTTTCCAAAGAGTCTGGGGTAAGTGCCGTGCTGTTCCTCACCGTCCTCTTATCAGAAGGCACCCNCGGAATTTAATTCGGAATTAAATATCGCATCTTCTCAGGCGTTCGCATCCCCATTGCGGTTTCTACCACCACCGGCAAGAAGCGTTTGGTCAAATATGATACGTAATAACAGATTTGTAATGCACTAAAAGTTATGACGTCTAAAATGCTGTTGCACATGCAATAACATGTATAATACTGCGTTTTAAGAATTCTCACGGATGTCCAAAATACAAAAACTTACGTAATTTTCGAAATTGCGAGAGTATTTCCGGAATCGTTCTATCTTTCTATTGTTAATTTCGATTCGATGATGTTCTTCATTCTTAATTGCTTCCTCGACTGCTCTCATTAATCAACAACGGGCCGAGTATCGGCTGTGTGTAATTCATTTTTAAACGAGTTATCAGTTCTCCCTCGTTACTGCTCCGGAGCTAGACGGGCTGGCAGAGCCTCCCGCGCTTAATTCGCGCGACGACGCGTATTTGCATAGAACTTCTCGTCCGTTTTACCCGGGTTTATCTTCGGCGGAGAATTCCCTCGTGGAGTTTTCCCTCTTTTAAAAGAATTACGACACGGCAAGCAATTAAAACGAACTCCGTCCTCTTATCTACCGAGGGATTGATATTTCGCGTAAATCATACCGTAAGACTTCTAATCCACCGCCATTATACCCGGAGACACGTCCATAAACTCGGTCTCTCAATCTTATACAAACTTTCTTATCAGACATGCCTACACTCTTTGTTCCTTATCGACCCTTCGATAGCGGTTCTGCCTCCCGTCCTACGCTCTTTCCTCGAGGTAAATTCTATTTCCCAGGCTTGATACGGTCTGTACCGGTTCGGTAAAAACTCAATTTCGTTCGGCAGCAACAATTATGTACCCTGCGGGCGAAATGGGTGAACAGGTCCGAAATTTCGATGAGCACACGGTCGAACGCGTGCGGAACTCGCTCGAAAGAATACAGAGACCGATAACAGTTTGACCCCATTCAGATATAGCGATCCGAACCCCCGGGAGTTTCGTCAAACTCCAGTATTTTCGTTATTACCTGTTCATCCGAGTACCAGTGACATATACGTACTACTGATTTGTCAGTGGATACGGCCAGTTTTACACCGGCATGAATCGCTGCGGTTAATTTGTCATAAGAATAATGGCTCTATTGTGAGATAATTCTCGAGCCATGCAATACTGCGAACTAGTAATATGTCGGACCAGGTTTTACAGCCCTGTACCGATTCTAGCGCGCTAATTGTCTTCCGTGACAGTCCGCTTCACTAGTAGTTCATTTTCCTTCACGAAATAGTCTTCTCGTTTCCCTTTTTTAGTATTTACTTTTTGCAATGAATATTTGTTGGATCATTCATTCGAATAGAACAGGAATATCATTAATATGTTAGATATTTTTACTGATAGCCAGCTAGACGCGTTCTTTCCAAAGAGTCTGGGGTAAGTGCCGTGCTGTTCCTCACCGTCCTCTTATCAGAAGGCACCCTTGCCTTCCCCGCTCCGTGGCCAGATCCTTAACAACAATATCTTTGTTGGTTAGTGCTAGGCTGCGCCTAGCCGCTTTACCTTTTTTAACTGTTTCCACGTTTCCTCGTGGCCAACGTATTTTATGACACTCTGTGATGCCCGGTTGTGGTTCACTTCTCGAAATTAATACCAGATTTGGGGTATCACTCAAAGGTTCATAATTAAGGATCAACGTTGCGTGCAAAGACAGAACTTTATTACAATTGAAGTGAATATAAAGAGACCAAGACTAAGACTGCTTCAGGACGAGAGGGTAGGGCTATTTAAGGGCTTTGAGAGAAATGACCTCTGGATATGAAAAAGTAGTGGGAAAAGTTTGGAAGGTTCAGAGTGAGTAATAGTGATTTTGGGGACTGGCTATTGATTAAGGGATGAGACAGCTTAGGTACATGTTTACGGATGAGACAGCTTAGGTACATGTTTACGGATGAGACATTTTTAGGTACATATATAACATAAAATATTTACGGGTATAACTACTCGATGACCGCGTGGCTTCGGGCCACTCGCCATTTGGACACTATCCTTGCAAAGCCTCTTAAGGCCCATGCAAGCTGGGTCCCTATCGTAAAACCATTTAAAAAGACGAGAAGTCTCGGGTTAGCTACCCTTGACGACTCTTAAAAATAAGCTGCCGCTAACAAATAAAAGTTGACAAGTGATTTTTATTATATAAATCGTGTACTTGTAGACGTGCAAACAAGAGTGAAAGGTAAGAATTGCGAGGTTCTTCGTGGAACGAACTAAATTGAAACAAATACAGGTTGCGCGGTCCATCGAGTTAACTTTCCCCTCGGACCATACGCTTCCTCTTGTTACTCTCGCCGTCCTCTGTTTCACTTACGGTTTCTTTTTTACCCGTCGCGCTGGGTGTATCGTCGTTATTTATCGCTGAACGTTGTCGTCATTTTTCATCGGCCGTATTACACGACCCGTCCGGACGTTGCGTAGGGTTCGTACCTACTTTCGGGCGAAACGACTTTTTGAAAAATCAGTTCGAAGCTGCCCGACCCTTAGAACCAGGGAGAGATTGATGAAACCGAGCCGATAGGGTCGTACGGGGTGTTAATCAAAATGTGGAACAAGTAATTTCTAGTAAAGTCCGAGTGAGGTTAAAGTATCGCGTGAAATAAATGGTTCAATGATTTTGTAAAACCGTACAGTGTATGAATTCGTTATACGATGGGGATTATTAATGGAGAAGGTTTTCCTTGCATTTCGACGAATTAAAATGTATTTCAGTCAGGCTTTATGCTTCAGCGATCGCCGGCGCGATTTTAAATGATATTGTAGCTGGCAGCCTTTGTATACCCTGGTTAAGCAGGATTTAATTAAAGGGGCAACAAAACTTGTGAGAATTACGCGGATTCTTTCGGGCCGATTCATTCCCGTCGGAGTTTTCCGCGTTCCATTTCTCGCGGCGCGCGAACGCGAACGAACGTGTGGGACAACGCGTAATTAAATCGCGTTATTTGCATACCTTCCGCTTTCTCCTTTGGAAGTCTGTCGCCAATTATTCAGTGCATCCATTCGCGAAACAGGAATACCGGAAGTTACCCTCGCAGTGATTTACGACGCTCGAGACAAAACGAGAACTTTCCCCGATCGCGTCAGGGAAATGGAAAAATATTTGTCGTTCAATCGCTCGGAAAGCACTCTGTCGATAGTCGATTTCCTCGAATAATTTCCCAAACGACGTACATTCGTTTCGGAAAATTCTAAGATTACCCGGTTCCCATCCGAGTTTACGGTTTAACAGGACCCTCGAGGCCTCGCAACTTCCCCGATCCTGACAGTTTCCAGCGGTCCCATCGCCCGGCAATAAAATCCTTTTTCAAAAATAATTTCTTGCCGCGAACGAGTCGAGAATCGCGGTAGAAACTAATCTTGAAATTCATTAAGATTTAAGTGTGTTCGGATATACTGAGACGTCCAAACTTGGACGCGCGGAAGGATCAGTGCGAAGCTACTCTCTCGTTTAGCCACGGATTTCGCTAGCTGTCAGTCCGTACCCACGGGCGAGTTCTCGTTGCACGCGACTCGCAACCAAATAGATTCGTACGTTTCTCACTGAGGTAGAGTAGGCGGCTCGTATCTCCGCCCATCTTCGAGTCGACGCGATCCGTATCTGTCCGCCGCAGTTACAAGACCATTAACGTTGCCGGCTAGGCAACGCGAAGACGCGTTAGCCGATTTCTCACCGGTTAGCAGCTGTATTACCCGTAGGAGTAATCCATTTCGAGGACAGAGGAATGAAATTTCATCGGGCGAACGAATAGATTCGAGGCACCAGGGACCACTTACCTTCGGAAGTCTCTGCTCCAGCAGGCGTATATCACCGGGTTCATACCGCTGTTGATCCATCCGAGCCACGTGACCGCGGCGAACACGGTCTTCTCTTGCCAAATACACTGGGAGCAGAATCCCGACCATAGGTTCACCACGAAGAACGGCAACCAGCAGATGATGAAGACACCCATCACGATCCCGAGAGTCTTCGCCGCCTTCTTCTCTTTGGCGAACTTGGCCAGCTTCCTCGATAGCGAGAAATTGTTGCCCCTGTGCTGCTTATTGATCCTGGCGGACGGCACCCTGGTTAAACAGTTGTTGTGTATCGCCGTTAGCGGCTCCTCGAGGTCTTGAAGGTCCTCCGGCGTGCTGGACGCGGTGCGAAACAGGTGCCTGGCGTCGGTGTTCGTCCCGCCCCCGCGATGTATCCTCAGAGTCAATTCCAACTCACCGGAGGCCATTATAACTTGCTTCGTGCCCAGCTTGAGGCTCTTCGTCTGGATCACCGCGGCGCGATAGATCTTGTAATACGTGAACACCATCACGAACAGGGGCAGGTAGAAGCTGATCGTCGACGAGAAGATCAGATATCCGAGGTGTTCCGTGAACGGGCATTCGTTCTCTGGTACCGTCTCGGTCCTCACCGCCCTCCACCACGCGATTGCCGGGAACGAGATCGCGCTCGAACAGATCCAAACGATCGCAATTAAAATCGCGGCTCGTTTCTTGCTCATCTTGCTGGGATAAGTGAACGGGTCCGTGATCGCCCAGTAACGGTCCAGGCTGATAACGCAGAGGTTCAGGATCGACGCGGTGGAGAATAAGACGTCTAAAGATCGCCAAACGTCGCACCAGTCCGTCGTAAAGAGCCAACGATTCTCGAGGACCTCGTAGACCGCGCTAAACGGCATCACGACCAATCCGACGAGGCAGTCCGCGAACGCGAGCGACGTGACGAAGTAATTCGTCGCCGTGTGCAGGTACCTCTCTCTGATGACGGCTAGGATCACCAGCATGTTACCGAACACGGTGGCCACTGAGAACAAGAACAAGAGTATCGCCACGCCGGCTCTGTCCGTAGCCAGATTCCAGAGATTGTCTGTGCTGCTATTCTGCGGGTAGCTCGCGTTGTAGAAGCTTCTGTTCAAATGTGTGCTCGCTACGATTGCCTCTTCTTCCGATCCGAGCAAGTAGATCGCGCTTTCGTTCATCTTTCGATCGCACGCGAGCTTCACGCGCCCTGCCAAACCAGAGGACTATCAGGTCGTCGATCCGTCGACGCCGCGTTTCTTCCTTCCTTTCATCTTTCCTCTTCTCTCGACCTCTGTACTCGGGGCTTTCACGAGACTCGCTCCGCGATCGTTGACGAACTTTCTTTTATCGATCGTCGAGAGTTCGGCTAGACGGCTGCGATGATTCGTCGCATCCTCTGAATCTGAAACAGGCGAGACGTATTCGTGAGATAGTGCACGGTCGGGCATCTCGAAAGAAATCACGGTCGTAAAGCTGCATTCCTCGCGTTTTACCAAGGGCGGATGTCAGTTTTTATTGCAATCGTCTTTTCATTCCCTTGTCATGCCATCCAGACTGGCTGTCATGTCGGATTTTAATACTGGCTCCCTCGTAAAACGTCGCAACGCGCTTTGATCTATCCATATTCCAAGATCTTTGATTGAATAACGTTGGGAAAATATTGTCCCCGTGGCAACTCGTTGAAAATCGTGTAAACCGTCAAAGAGATTAATTTGCTGCATTCATATGCTGCGTCGTGTATTATAAATAGAACAAAAGACTTTATTTTCCATGAAATTGGCTCTCGCGCGTTTTCTCTTTGCTCGGACGCGAAATGCATAACAAAGATTGTTTCCTTTTTTAAGTAATTGTCAATCATTTCGCGACGCTGCTCACTCGCACCGTTCAGTAGCGGCGCAAACGATTTAACAATCTTTTCGCCGGCGCGCAGCTCCACAGCATCGCGTCTATATTTAACCAAGGGAAAAGTGTCATAAAGAGGAGAATGGTGTGTGATCGAGAGAGAGAGAGAGAGCGAGAGAGAGAGGGTTTGGTGATTTCGTGACCAGACCGGAGCGTGGAAACAGGGCCGAGCTTTCATCCGTGACCCGGGTGAATGTTTACCGCTACCTGATCAAAGGGGTTTCGATCGTCGGACGATCGACCCCGGGGATGTAGCCCGGATCCCCGATCCTCCGATTTTGTCTCGTTCACACCCCTTCTACGTCATATCTCGGCGACGACGTCCGATCCATTCGTCGCCGTAACACCTGTCAGGGCCGATAAACCTTGCGTATCGAACTCCCGGGTAAAACCGCTCTCTTTCACCTGGCAGAGCCAAACCGATGTCGTTTATTCTTGACTTTCAATACACCAACGGACACGCCTCTTGAAATTTCGGACTTATCCAATTTACGACGAGGTGAGACAAACAAATTTCAACCTCCCGGTTTTCGGAAAAAATATCATATAGTACCACCGAGGAGAGATTACTAAAGAATGGCAGCCTTATGGGATTCTGTGTCGCCATAAAAAGTCTGCAATTTTTATAAAAATACGTATCGCTTAAAGAATTGAAGAAAATTTTTGCTGGATTTCATGTTACAAATTAATACTCTACGTGCTGTATTTTATAATTTAACTCGCGGTATCTTCGACGCCTGTATTTTCAAAGTTTAATCGAACCGAAATTGCGAAGCCAAACACGGCAACCTAGTTACGCTCGGAACATAAATACGTGTATATACTAATTCTGAGAAGATTTGTCGGACACGGTTTGGATATAAAGGCGATACGATTTCTGACACGTGTTTAGGGACTTGGAACTACTTGGAGCGCACTTGCGTTTAGAAAGTTCTCCTACTATTGACGCTCACGCGATTAGCTATTAAATCGACCAAATCCGTGTTCGAATGTATGCCTTGCGGCCTGTTCCCGAATCCGTGATTCGAATCCATTTCAACTTTCAGTAAACTCCCGTCCACAAGTATTTAGCCAGTTGATGAACCATTTTATGCATTAGATAAGAAAATATCGAAAAATATAATTATTAGTGAATGTTCCAACTGAGACACGTTTTTCATAAATATTTTCTTCCGTACAAATACGTCCATTCTGGTTATAATATTGTTTCCAATGTCCTCCACAGTCGAGGAATATGTACAAAAGTTTAACACTAGATTGCCCAAGGAAGTCATTTTGACTGCTTTTGGGCAAATGTACAAATAATAATGCATAAATTATTTTTTCCCAAGTGAAGTAAATTTTTTTTATTGTTAACATTTACTAATAACTTGTTATATGACTGTAAATAATATAAAAAATATTAAAAATTAATTTTAGACAAATTTCTTTACACATTATTCTTTCACAATGTAGTCATTTTGACTGCTTTGGGCAATATAGGTATGTACTAAGTTTCAGTCTTTCTAGTGTTAAAGTGGACAAATACTTATGAACGATACTCGCTGAGAACTTTTCTAACAAGAAGAGTTACTCCGGGAACAAAGGTAGACGGTGTATCATACAGTTGGAATGAAAAACTATTTGTGACGTTAGGATGAAGTTCCGTTCGATTTTCTCAACGCTTGTCCCGGTTCGATGGAAGCTCGTGAAGAATTTAAATTGATCGAAGTAGGTACGCGTCGCGCGCTCGGACCGGGGCTGCGAAATTCCGATCGTCGCTGGATTCAGTAATTAAACAGCGATTAGAGGGCCGCTGCAAACTTCGTCGTTCCGGGAGTAATTCGAAGCCCTCGTTCGCAACAATCGCGAAACATTTTAAAACGCGCATCGTCTACCTCGAGTAAGGTAATTTCCAGTGGAAGCTCGCTTATACCCGTAGTATTTCTCCCGCGAATAACGTCCTAATTTTCATCGCGCACTGCCGACAATTGTCAACGCAATTTTTCGTACCGTAATCGTCATAATTTTCGTATAATATTTCATGTATTTTAATATTGTCTCGCGAGGCAACGAACGCGAATCTCACGCATTCGGAATTGCACGCCTTGCATCTGTCCTTATGCCCGGGAATCCGGCCGTGCATTTTGCCGGTCGATAGCCCCGTTCGAAAATCAAGGATATTCCCATTAGTCGAGCCACTGTATGGCCTGCAACGATATCGTAGCCCGTTGTTGCTTCTAGACCCATTAACGGTCAAATCGTCTGCCACGTTTCATCATCCGGATTCCAATTCGTCGTCTGCCCGGAAGCTCTTAAGCGTCGCTCGATTTTTATTGTTTTACCGGTTAACAACCTCGTTCGTTGCTCGCGGAAGATGAAACCTCGGTGCATACTGGCTGAATGAGTTATACCTCAATTTTCTATATGATTTTGATTCGTCTTTATCTTCGATGCAGAGCATGAATTGATCAATAAAAAATAGTTGGGGAGATAAAGGAATTCTGGTGTAAATGATTTCTGACTGCAATGAATCAGTTCTATCTTTCGCTCTATCTTTCCTTTGGATTCGACGGTAAAACGATCGTGATTTATCAATCGGGAAGCCTTTACTGTTATACAACATATAGAGAAGCAGATCTTCTTGGTCTGTTATACTTAGGCTTGAAGTGATCGATTATTTTCGTAGCTGAAACGGAAAGTAGCTCTCCCGTTCTCCATTAGCAATAAAACCTGACGTCGCTCTCGATTTATCGAATCGGCGGTTCTTCCGCTCGAACGCGTTCCTCCGCGCTGTTCCACCAAGATAAATACATAAAACGAACAGGGGGCGATTAACGCGAGGACAAACACTCGAATCAGCAACTTTAATTTCGGCCGCATTAGCGTTTTCGTTAGGGCGATTAATTACTACCCCGAGGTATGCCTTACTTTTATTTCAACCCGACAGGCCGTCAGTCCCTAGGACGATTTTTAGCGTGGGGACAAACATTCTCTCGAACGTAAACACATTCCCGGAATCCCAGTGCGCAACGAGAATTCTGTAAACAGCCGCGTGTTTGCCGTCGGATTCGCGCCTTGATTTTATACGATACTGAGTTTCGACGCGCAGAAAAGACAAGCAAATTAAGGAGGTTTGGTCTTTTTAATGACGTGCTTTTTATAAATCATATCGTTATTCAAATTAATACTATTTCTATCGGTGTCAAAAGATAGCTTCTGAAATCTTTGCCTAAAATTATTGTTATTAGTTTAACCCCTTTCCCTTTTTACTAATTAATTTAATAACCGACGTAGGAAAAGTGAAATATTTAATTGAGGGAAAAGTATTAAACTAATAATAATAATTTTAAACTAAAGTTTCAGAAGGTATGATAATGGATTGAAATGAAGAACTTCAGTTTGGGTATTATAGTATAGCCATGAATTAGTGAAAGTTTAAAACGGAAATGTTCATCTGACGACGTAAAATCGCGTTCACTATTTTCGTCTCACTGTCCCAGTTACGGTAATTAACTTTAACGAGTTACGTATCAGTATCCGATTTGATGATTCGATCAGCGGGAATTAAAGACGCGGAAAATGAAGTTTCGTTGCGAGAAGTGCGTGTGAGAATTTCATTTCGGATCGGTGTCACCGATATCCGTGGAATACGGAAAGAAGGAGGGCTCGATAGTCGATCGGGCGAAAGAGAACAATCGAGGTCTCTTGACGAGGCTCTTCCTCGTTCTCGTCGAATCTAGACTGGCTCAGGATGAAATATCGCCCGGATACGTAGGTGCCGAACGCGAAATCGAGCGTAACAATCCCTCCATATATGTAACTACCGTTTTGCGTATCCGATGGTATCGAAACGGCGCGAATGGGAGAGAGACTTCGAAATAAAGGTTGAACTCGCGAGAGCAACACCGGAAATTCAATTACATCGTAGCGTAGTTCCGTTCCATCGTATTGACTCTTCTTTTGCTCGACGACGACGACGACGACGACGACGATTCCGCTTCGACGGATGATTTAACCGTGAGAATTCGGGACAAAGCGTTGCGCTGCCGAAGCCGAATTACTCGCGCACCTTTTTACAGGAAAAAAAGGCAGACGACGCGTAAAATAAAAAATGCGAGACTTCATACGAAAACGTTGAAATGATTGAAACGTAATTTTTAATGGATCTCGACAGCATTTTATGGATCACGTAGAGATCGACGTGCTCGAATAGCTCCGATTTTTCAATGCGCGCGCAATTTGTCAAATTTATCTGCCAGCTATTCGGGGATTGGAATAATTTAAGTGATAACTCCCGTCGCTGCGGGATGACACTTTTTCGCATTAAAATATCGATGAACCGCGCTAAGCGGCGTTGAAAAATTGGCACGGACGGGCTCATAAATTCGGCGGTGAACGCGTTCAGCGTGTTCCATTCGCGTGAATATTAATGCGATAAACAATATTCGGGGGAGCCATTTAACTCCGACGCTCGTTTCGCGGTGGTATTGTGTCGATCGGCAAGAAACGAGCTCGCGT